TACTGTACATGTATGTCAGGTGCTGCAATTATTTGCGGTCATTAAAAAATTGATTTAAAAACCATGGAAACTGTTAGAGCGTTGCTATGACAATAAGACCATGTGTTTAGTGTTCAGCTATTCATCTGTTCTTTAGGAGCCATTCACCAATAGCGAGACCTTCTCTACCTGTTAACTTCTTGTATGGACCTCTATCTCAGAGCTCTTTCAGCCTCTTTGCTGCAAATTGTAGCTGTTCCACATGCTGGTGATAATAAACAACACCATGACTACACCCAAGTTAATAAAATAACGTACACTAAGTAGAATGGGTGGAAAGTCCCAAGATATGGTGAGAAAGTAGTTCTGAAAAGAACAAGTAAAAGCAGCTCCAAAGAGACCAAGGCTTAGTAACACAAGAAGAACAACAGCTCAAGAACACAGCAGCAAGGTGCTTTCCTTCAGTATCGCACCGTTTTCAATTAAAATAACACCTAGGTTTCCATGGTTTTTAATTAAATTTTTTTATGACTGCGAATAATTGCAGCTGCAAATATAATATCCTGACCTACAGTAATTATGACATATTTGCGCATGTGTAGTGGCTGACTACTCATCCAGTACTCAATACCATCGATACTGATACTCAGACTACTTGGTATCGGTATCAATCAAAAAATTTTGGTATCACCCACCTCTAATTGTCATGGTAATCATACAAGCATACTCACCTCCAGTATTGTATTTCTTAAAAGTCCCAATATCTTTACAAGTTTCTAGGAATAATCCATAATATCCAGCTACAGCCATAAGCTGTCCAATAGTTTGATCTTGAAACTGAATATAATAATAAAACAATTATAACAATAGAATAATAAATATACCTTATCAAGGTCAAAGGACTGTTCCATTACATCCTTAATGAAATTATATTTAACTAAACGACATCTCTCAATAGGAATATGAGGAGCTAATTCCATTAACTGATAAAGAAATGAGGAGAAAAGTATAAAACAAAGCAACTAAAATAACAAACCTCATAAGCTGTATACAGTACTGTGGGTAGTAATTCATCTTCATGTACTTTAAAAAATTTACTAGTTATTCACCAGTAACAGGATGATTACAAAATAATAAGAACTA